AGGTGAAACCATCTTTAATGGTTAATGCAGGGAGGCTAATGCTTTCAGTTCGGAGTGTAAAGGGACAAGTCCTGCAGCGACTTCTTAAGCATGCTTTAGTACCAATATTCAACGATTTAGATAGAATGCGACTATGAACCAAAAGATCACCTAGATATCTGTCCCATCTAAAACAATCGGGGTCAGCAAGAAGTATTTAACTTTTTTAGGAATATTTTTTTGGCAGTTAAATTTCAAAAAGCCCTTTTTCGTGTCATCGTGCTGATTCGACCTGGTGCTGAGACAAGAGTAGTTTCAGGATAGCATCTGGAGCGGAAGAAATCCATTTCATCAGCTCTTTCTAGAAATCACTCATCAATTTGGCAGAGACGCCGTAGTCTAAGAAGTTGCATGATTTTTTGTGGGAGGATGAGTACAATAGGTAACTATGGCTGTCAGTTGGTTTGTAGGAGGCAGATGTGTTTGCTTTTAATGTTATGGTGATATCAAACCCTCTTTAATGGTAAAGATACCTTTAGGGAGGCTAATGCTTTCAGTTTGGAGTGTAAAGGGACAATCCTGCAGCGACTTCTTAAGCATGCTTTAGTGTTGTGTTGTTCGTCCGTCGAGGACCGACGATGACCATCGAGTCGTCTGGTGACTGATGACTTGCGCGGGTGACTTTTGTTTAAAGTGAGGAAGAGTTGCGCAGCGTCAACCTCACTCTCTCGTCCGAGCCCACCATATCCAGTGGCAAAACTTCTACGTCAAGACGACCAGGGATGGGTACGGTTGCAGGAATTGACATTGTATGCGCCTTACGGGACTCCAAATCCGGGTTTGAATTCTGAGTTTCCTTCTCTTAGATGAGTTGCCGACCAAGGTTAACGAGTCTCATCCACCCGGGGTGATGGAATATTATATTCAAAATGACCCATGAATAGGGAAGCATAGCTAGGGCCCATTTTGGTGCCCATGGCTATTATACACCACTTACTTGGTCAAAGAAATCCAAAAGAGTTGGGCCAATCTGATAATAGTGTCAGTAGGAATAGATGGGTGCGTTTTTTTTTTCTAGGAAAAGTTTATAGGCCCTAAGGCCGTCTTCCCGGGTTGCCCACTTTGTGACTCTTAGGCAGCAAATAGAAAGAAGGTTTCTATTGAAAATGTGTAAGGCAGAGGCCGATTTTTCAAGTTCTGATTCGTTAATGAGTTTTTTTTTATTGTTCGATGCACAATTTCATTATTTTGAACGATGGGGTTATCCTTGAGGGGCTTATAGAATCTTTCATCCCTCAATTGTTTTGTCAGCCTCTTTAATGTATAAATTTTTGTCCCAAACTACGACAGCGCCACCCTTGTCGGCACGTTTGATCACAATGTCGTTACGTTTAAGTAACGCAGACAGCGCCTGAGATTCTTTTTTAGAGAGGTTGGAATGGCGAAGTTTTGGGAGAGAGAGATTGTTGATAGTCTCATTGCCACTTAATTTAATACAGTTTCAATATTAAAAACATAATATGCTTTGAAAAATTTGTTAATATATAAATCAACATCTGATTACAGGGGCAGACATAGGTTGAGCTCCCTTTCTTAAAAAGGCTTTCAATACTGTCAACAATTTATTGCAAAGTATTATTTTTTTAAACCGGGTCTCTAAAAATTGTGGTTCTAAAATATCGCTTTATTTGTTTTTAAAGATTGTTTAGTTGGTTGTTATTGATCGCTTATTTTGTTGTTTAAGATCGTCCAGTTTTTGTTAATGATCGCTTTATTTTTTCTTAAAAATCGGTTAGTTTGTTCATAAAGATCGCCTGGTTTGTTGTTAAAGATCACTTAGTTTGTTGTTAAAGATCGCTTAGTTTTTCACAAAGATCGCTTAGTTTGTTCTTAAAGATAATTGATTTTGTTCCTTAAGATTGATTAGTTTGTTCTTAAAGATCTTTTAGTTTATTCCTAAAGAACATTTAGTGTTCTGTTTAAGATCGCTTAGTTTATTCTTATAAATCATTTAGTTTCCTATTAAATATCATTTGTTTTGATCTTAAAGATCATTTAGTTCGGTCTTAAAAATCGTTTAGTTTGTTCTTTAAGATCGTTTAGTTTGTTATTAAAGATCGCTTAGATAGTTCTTAAAGATCGCTTAGTTTGTTTTAAATATCGCTTTCGCTGAGTATTAAATGACCGAAAACCTGAGTCACTTTCGGCCGGATGGCCGAAATTCTAAGTCAATTTCGGCCGAAACCGAAGAAAAACCGAAAGTTAACTTTTCTCTTTAACTTAAGTATGAAAGTTAACTTTTCAGTTTCGGCCGAAACCGAAACTTGGCCGAAAGTGATAAAATGGCCCCTTTCGGCGCCGAAACCGAAGCCGAAATTCGGTCGGCCTCTAGTTTGGTGAGTCATGTACAAAATTTTAAATGTAGGTCACAAATAACACCTTGAACACAATTACATACTGCAAATCAAACACAACACCTTGAACATAATTACATACTGCAAGTCAAACACAACACCTTGAACACATTTACATACTGCAAGTCAAACACAACACCTTGAACACAATTACATACTGCAAACTTTCATTCTGCCAGGCAGCTTTAATTCCATAGCCTGAGAAAAGTTCTCCTAAAATTTACAAAAAATTCAGGAAAAAGTTCTGAATTCTCCCAACATAACAAAGAAGCAATTAAATAGGCTTGACCGTTAGTGACAATTTAAGACATAAAAATTATACTAATTATAATAAATTTATGTATAAAAATATTTAATATATATAATACTTAATCATGTTTAGCAGGAAATAAATAACAAAAATGAATACATTTATATTTTTACATTTTTGTACTAATTGATCCTTAATATAAACAGTTTTAAAATTAACTTATAAAAAACAGAATCCCAAAGTAACTTCTTTGTCTGTTTATCAGTGGATATATTAGGAACCATCATTTTTAATTTAGTGCTAAAAATCTAGCATAAAACATTTTGATTACTGGTTATTAATCTAATAAATATTACAACATTTTTTGCTTGACCAGGTGCAGTTTTGAGAAAATATCCGGCAGGTAAAAAAGAGTTAACTTCTAATTTTCTATATTATATGCCGGTCTTTAAACAGTAGGCCTACAGACAGTCCTCCACCCTACCTACTGGCCTTTAAACAATAGGCCTACAGACAGTCCTACACCCTACCTCTGGCCTTTAAACAGTAGGCCTACCAACAGTCCTACACCTTAACTTCCGGCTTTAAACATCCTCCTACAGACTGTCCTACACCATACTCATGGCTCTTAATTGATTAATATAATAGTCGTCGCTTCCCTCTATTAAAAAAATCAACTATTTACCTGAGTTCAACCATCAAGTTTAACGTGTACTATGGGACAGCCTTTTTTTTTTCACTCAATACTATTGATATAAAAATAAAATGTGTAGTTGGGGGAATAGCAGTTTTGAAGAGGAAGCAGGACACACCAGAAGCAAAACATATATAATATATAGATATTTAACTGATTACAAATTTTTCTACATAAATCCAATCTTAGACAAAAAAATCAAAAATGGAAAAAGGAAATGAGAAAAATCAGTAAATTTTTTGCGAGCCCTTAATATATAATATAGAAGAAATAAAACAATTTATTGACAAAGTTTCCATACCATTTTTTTAATATTCAAGCTTCTACCATTTTTATTTTATTTTCTGGGTTGTTTTTAAACAATTTTCATTTAAAAATATCAGACGTTAACTTTAAGATCACTGGCAGTGAAACACAAAATATTATTTAAATCTTTTAATAGCCTATTATTATTATTATATTTTGTTAAAGAAAGGATAAAGAAATGGAATTTGGCCCTTCAAAACATGGAACAACTAAAAATTTGGAATTCTGCAGTTTAAACAAATTTGCTGAAGACTGCTCATGGCATCAACATATAAATTTAGCAGCCCAAATTCAGTTTCCAATAACATCAGCAAAAAGATAATTAAATGTAAAATTAAATAAATTTGCACTTCTCTTTAAAATTGATGTAGTATCAATATACATTAAAATTATTCAGTGATATTTTACCATAAAATTTATTCAGTGGTACTATTTGTCCAATGTTTTTATTTTACATTATAAACTTAAAAAACAAGCTGAGTACAATTCCCTGATATTAAACAATTTTAAGATCATTTTCAAATGTAAAATCACTGAGACAAAACTTTAATCTTGATGTTTCTCATCATTTTCTATGGAACCGATACACATTGATATCAAATATTTGATAATAAGTTTATTAAAAATTAGGTATCAACTGCTCTATTAGCTGCACTTTGTAGCCTCATCATCACTGTGCCAGTAGGTGGGTGAAGGTTCCCTTTTCTGTTGGTTGGAGCCTGCATTGAAAGAAATAATAGTAATCCTCTAGAGACAATGAAACAATTAAAATATAACATCAAATTATATCATTGTAACATGGGTTCCTCTATCTAGACAAAAATGTTCTTGACCAAGAAGTTTATTTCAAGAGGGGGTAAGCTACCCCGTCATGATACTCCTCAGTCAGCTTGCCTGTTTCACCAAGGGGGAGGGCTCAACTTAAAGAATATGTAAATCTAATGCTTCTAAAATTATTTATTTCAACAAGAAATCAATCAAAGGAAATGAGAATTTTTTCTTCTAAAAACAAGAAATTTTGAATACCTGTAATAAGTTTTAGAAAATTTTCTTTAAAAAAAAGTCTAGATCAGGCCTGCACAACATATGGTCCTCGGTCCTCATGTGGCCCACCAGCACCCACTTGGCAGCCCGCGAAGTAACCAAATTCTTTATTATTATTATTTTCTTAATAGCTTTCCCCCCATCCCATTATCTTTCATAAAGTATTACGGCTCGCATTACATTTTGATTTGTGCAGGCCTGGTCTAAATGATTTAAGATAAAATTTTACAATATAGCTCTAAGTAAATTGTATTACATTAAATCTTTATATCATTTATCATATTTTCTGGACTCGAAAATCTTAAAGGATTACTTACCAATTTTGTTTGCTGTATTCAACTCCCTGGCTATCAAACATATGAAATGTGTAAGCATGTCTTGACTTTGTTGATCTGTTGGGCTCACTTTTGTGAACAACTTCTCCATGAATCAAAGCCAAAGATCCTGGCAGTGGTAGGCAGAAAGGGCAAACCATTACATAATTACAAAAATGATAATTTCACTCCAGACAATTCAGTTTAAGGAATAAATTATTCAGGAATTAAAACAATTTCAGTTTAATTTCAACTTGGGAATTCCAACCATCTGGCCAAAGGTGACTGGGGTTTTCTACCAGAGGTCAGACTGTTTGTCTGAATTTCGGTTGGCAATCTGATTTTCATTATTGCTCGACATCTAGCTGTCATCGTATGTTATATGACTAATACTCAGTGAAAACAGCCCACAGCTGCATGATGACCTACTTGTCCTATATTTCAAAAAAATTACATTTTAATCAGGCCTAGGCAAACGTTATCATTTTTGTGGAAGAAAAACTAGTGGAATGGTAATATTTTATATCATTATTTTTGTTTTAATTTTAAAAAAAATAAAATTTGGAACCCTAGGTTTATTCAATTTCTTCATATGTGATATTCATTTTCTTTTATCATTATCATACTCATCAATTTTGTCATAAGCAAAGGTGAATAATATTGCATAATCCTAGGGAATCGTAATATTTCTCCTATTATTTAGAAAAAAATTTTCTTTTTAAAATAAAGGAAACCTTACGCTTTTTGAATTCATTTATTTCTTGAAATTCATCATTATTATCATGCTCATAAACATGGTTATTGATGAAATAACAAGTGTTTGCATGTATCAATGGCTTGTATTACAATTATGTAATAGGCCTACTGCAGACCTGTTTACTTTTATGATTTAGGCGACTAAATTAAGATATCTTGCGAATATTCTCCGCCGAGACCCGTCAGAAGAACTATTTTAAGAGACCCGGTCAAAAAAATAATAAATTCCCTCACCACAGAGGTGAGCGAAGTAGTTACACAATGAAATAATTATGTCTCCAGCATGGTAAGACTAATGTGTTGGTACTAGGCTAAATATTAATACAGGGACATCTTGCCAGCTATTTATGAAAACACAAAGCATTAGTATGACGAAAACCAGGAAACATTGTGGTGATATTTCTATAGCCTTAATAAATTATATTTATGTGACATTTGGCTTCATCAGAGCCACAATAATTATTATAGGTATATATTCTAGGCTGTATTTATATTATAAAAGCAAAGGGCACTCAAGGGTCTATTTTGTATGAACTCTACACCCCCACCCCCCACACGTTTTCTCTTATCATACTACTTTAAAAAAAAAACATTTAAAAAAATTTAAATTAATTTTAAATAAAAATAGTAGAATCCAAAGTATTCATTAAATGTTTAATTATTAATATTTAATTGTAAAAAAAAAAATAATGTAAATATTAATACTTTCCACCATCATTTTTTTGATGTATGTAGAATGTATGCGTGGACCAATTTCAAATTACCTAAATATTTCAGTTTCGGCTTTATCCGAAGCCAAAAAGTTAAATTTCGGTTTCAGCCAAAAGTCATTTAAAAATTTCGGCCTAGTTTCGGTTTCAGCCGAAATCAGAAAATCACTTTTGGTCTGTCTCTACTGTAGTGGCTTAACACCACCCCCCCTGTTACCCAGGGAACACAATGACTATTGCATGTGCCCGAGTGAGCAGACAAAGGCCATGCATGGTATCTGCCTTGAATGGTAGCATCTACAGGGCTATCAACTGAGGAAAATCTGCAGTTGGAAGTAAAAGGCAGAAACAGGGTAGGGATCATGATTACAAGTTGCCGTTAATGGATATGAGGCATGGGGTGGGTACTAACAACCCCATGGCGATGATTTTATTAACACGCCATTAAGGAAGCTGTTCCTAGGCATCCATTTTTCCCAGCTGCTTCGTAAATTAGTTGCAAGGTAGAAACGCACAGTAGAAACCCCAATTAGGGGGCGTCTGATGCTTTCCCAGGATGGGAGTAGGGAGAATTTAGGATGTAAATATACCACCCCGATCCCTGGGAAAGTCAACTGCCGACATTGTGAGAGCAGCGTCACTGGCCGACTGAATGTCCTTGGGCTGGGTTGGTCTCCGCTCATATCTGATCGAGTGGGTGCTGGCGGGAGCTGTTCTGACCACGGGAGATCTCCAACATGCCGCTTCGTGGCACGATTCATTGGCTTGGGAGGGGGGGGGGCAGTGTTTTGGGGAGGGCATAAAGAGCTTTGGCTCAGCCGCCCCCTGATGCCATTTCCTAATGGAATATTTCAGTGTAGGGGGTTATCTTCATCAAAATGTTAAAGAAGAAAGAGGAATGTAATTGTTTAATTTTCAACTCACTAAACTCCTTTGCAGCTAATAAAAAGCCATTTTACAATAGATCAAGTATACAAATGCCTTTTCATATTAACCAATAGAAGGTAAAGTATATGAATTCCATTTCTTATCAACAAAGAGTTTGAGAAGTAGCTGAATGCCATTTCACATAAATCAATAATAGGGGAAGTAATCAATGGCATTTCATATTTAACTAATTTTAAATGGTTTTCAAATGAACTAATAGTAAGTGTAGTTTAGGAATTCAACTATAGCTATTTGAAACTAGTTTTATCCACCTGCTCTCATCTCAGCGGGCACAAAAAGGTTATCATCGTACTGCACAGGTGGGTTGGTGAAGGTGACACCTAGATTACTGCTCACAGGATTCTGAGTCCTGATCATATATCGCTCATTGTCCACGCCATCTGTTTAAGAAATTTAATATCTTCATTGCAATGTCATCAGTGAAATAGCACATTGCTGCTAAATGAATAGGTACTCATAGAGGAAATTAAATTAAATCACTTATTTTATATGAAGGAAAAAAATAACAACAAAGAATACTATTATATTACCAGTATGTAATATTTAAACTTTTCTTAGGGGTAAAAATTATTTATACATCTATACACTAGCTCTTAACAATGGCGGCCAAAATGTGTGAACTTCCCATCTACTAAAGTTACTTGTGTGAAAACATGCATTCAAATGGTACACTTTAAAGATTCCCAATTAGAGCTAATCCCACTCCCCTTTCGACCCCACCCATAAACTACATTAATACTCTAATGTCCTGCCCCTTTTTACACCACAAATTTATTACACCAACTATTTCCATAAAACAAAAGACAATAGTACGCATCAAATGCACTTGCAGTATTTAAAAAAATCTCATTTAGCTTGAATATTTGGAAATTTAATCAGGGAAATCAGCATCATCTTGTAGCAATAATTTCATTGTCAGAGAATTATGTATTTTCATATATATATATATATACATATATATATATATATATATATATATATATACACACACACATATATTATATATAGATATATAATGAGGAGCATCACATATTTCTAAAGCTTGAAATTAAGAAAATTTAATTTATAATTAACACAAATCTGAACATTTCAACAAGCAACTGGACCTACTCTTATGTGATCCTGGTATAAACCAGAGGCAGCCATTTTCTTTTGTTGCATCTTCCAAGGGAATCCAGACGCCAACGAGCCTCTTTGGGTTGGTGTTGAGAAAAGTTGAATCTTGGTGGGAATTCACTTCATGTGGGAACATAATCATAACATTACTTTCATCACATTTGTGATACTTAATAACATTAAAGTGCAAAATTTTATTATCAATAAAAAACAATGGCTTTTGTTAAACCTCCGTCATAAATATGATAAGCATTGTAACATTTTAAATAATAATACAGACTCTTTTGTTTTGAGACTTCTATTTTGAAAAAAAAATTTGAAGATTTTTTCTAAAGCCTTACCTAAATCAATACAGTTTAGTATCCAGCTATTTAAGAGAATATTTAATTCATCAGTTATTCCATTGACGTTGTTAAAAAGACTAGGGTGGGATTTAGACTAAGGAAGAAGAAATACAAACTATACATTATCTTACCTACACCACCAATTTTGGGTTGCTGCAAATATTAAAATTAAAAAAGTGAAAAAGATGACAACAAGAACTGAAAATAAATGAGTGGTGAAAACATTTTAATAAATTTAAAAAAAATAAAAATTCTATTCTTATTTAAGTTTTTTTCTTTTGTTTTTTTACACACCAGGAGACTGAAATGTAACAAGAAATAAAGCAGTTCAGTAGGTTCAAAGCCATAATGTAACATATTAACAAGATATCCTGAGACAAGGATTTGAAAAATAAAATACCTTGAAAATATACATGCTCTGGCAAATGACTGGGTCAGTAAATCCAATAGCTTTGGCCAGATCCTGATGGAAGTAGACAAATGAGAAGATGACCATAAAATTAAAACAATATCCTTGAGATTTAAAATTCTAATTCAAAAAAATTTAAAATCAATAATTGTTAAATCTTGTCATTTAAAATATAGTTTTTGAATTTGTTTATTTTTTACTTAGCATTTACTGGAACACATTTCATAATCTTGATCATAGAATACACTGAAATATCCTATAATTAATTTTTTCTATAAATGAATGCCATCATAATTGCCTTTATTGAAATGTCTTGATTTTGATTTTTAAAAGTTAAATGAAGTTTTTATTTGAACCGGGTAATAAAATGAGAACAATATGGGTTCTGAGTGGCCGAGCTGTCTAAAATGACTCAATCCAAATAGCTGGTGGTCTGGAGTTCAATTCCAACCAAAGCAAAAACATCCCCAGCCCCCCGGGTGGATGGGACTTGTTAGTCTTGGACGGCTACCCATCTAAGAGAAGGCAAACTCTGAATTCAAACCAGGAGCCAGAATGATCAATAAATTGATCGTGGACCCTCAAAATATAGAAGAAGATGTAATACATTTTTTAAAAAATTCTTCCGTTCGACTGAATTATTCTTTAACAGACTGAGCTTCATTTCATTATTAACTACTGACCTTTATTCGTTCACTTTGTGTGATTTTTGAGAACACAGGGTCCAAACAGTGAAGCGCTAAAACATAAAATATTTGTATTTCACTAATAACACAAAATATTTGTATAGTTGTTATAACAGCTATAATTTTGTTGAAAGATAACAAATCATAACTTTTTGTAACCAAGAACAGGAACAGGTTTATATAAACGTGAAACTGTGGATCTTTGTTTTGAGATTCCCCACAAATAGAGTTAATTATTTACTTTTTGTAAATTCAGCTTTGACTTCAACTTTTCTGAAGGCATCTAAATTTTTGCTACCCTGTTGTTCCCCATAATTCTACTAAAAACATGAATTTGAAAGCTTACCATGACCAATTTTATTGACAGACAGATGCTTCTCAACCAACAAGTTGCCTGTTGAAATAGAGATGGAACAGATTTATATTTAAAACAAAAGATAGTGACAATTTCTTTGTTTATTATTTTTTCTCACAGAACAAAATTAAACATTAAAACTAAGTAGATTAAATGTAAGATATGAAATAGTTTTAAAACCTGACACCCATCCCCTTGTCCCCCAAGTGTAACAGTTTGTTTGTTGTGTTATCATTTTAAGACTTCTTGTCGGTCAGGAAGTCTGCAGTTTTTACTATGCTTAAGGGAGCCCCAATAAAGCTTTTAAACACTCTGTAGGCTATCTGAGGATTTGCTATGAAAGCTATTTTGCAAAAATTCTGTTTGGAGATTGATTTTTAAAAAAACTAACGGAATTTGCGGACTATAAGACACACTTTTTCTTTGAAAAATTTCCTACAACATTCAGGTGCATCTTATACTCGAAATTAAAATAAAAATGGTAAAAATTGCATTTTTAAAAAAAAATTGCTTAAAAATTAAAGTGCGTCTTATAGTCCATAAAATACAGTATTATTTGCTCACAGGTGGGAAAGAGGCCACCTTCAGGTCTGGATTCAGATGCCTCACCATTTCATGAGACAAAAAAATATATTTATCAACAACATGAGTTCTATTATTACAATGAAAATATAATAGTGACTAAATATAAACAGATGGTTCTCACCCTTTTTATCTAAGGCATCTTCTTCAAAGAAGAAAGCAATTTTATCTCCACTGTTCATGAAGTAATCATTTCGAGTCTGAAAAAAAATAATTTAAATGAGAAATACTTGGCTTTGAAAGAATATATTATTTAAATATTAAGGAGAAATACCTGGCTATGGAACAATAATGAAAGTTTCAAACGGAATTTTAAAAACTGTTAGAATTAGAAATAGTTAATCTAACTAGCATCAAATAGTACCAAAATTTGAGTCTTATTTTTTATTTTGTTGCAGTACAGTACTTCAAAACTTAGTTAATAATTATTTTTTCTTTTTAAAATATGAAGCAGCTGATTAACGCAAGTCTACCCACATTCACCTCAATAGTAAAAATCAGCTTTTGCTTTAGCCAAACATAAAAACTATATGACTCTCATTGTGGTAATCAAAACAGGATATTTCTAGCATTCAAAAGTAAGTCCCCACACACATGCCTGTTCATGGTTTGTGGTAGAAAAGACAGTTTGATGTTCTTTGGGGTTAAGACCATCAACAATTTCATGCATACGGGTTTTTAAGGCTTGGATCTCCTCCTCATTGAGAAAATCTTCAATAACTGCATAGCCATCTGCCCAAAGCTGTTGATAATCATGAAAATAACAAAAAGTTTAGGATAGTTTTGATAGTAAAATACTGAAATACTGTTTATCTAAATAGTTCCCTTATTTTGGACATTTTTCACATTATTTAATTTTAAAATAACAAAAACAATACCATCTACATTTTAAAATAAAAAACTTTAAGAAAATTAAAATGTATCGGTTGAGTAGTGTAGAATAAATATTTCTAAAAACATTGTTTGAACATATTGAGTACCATCTTTTAACTTGGCAGAGGTACAGTTAATATTATAATGCCCAATTTAAACTTACAGCATTGTGTTGGATGGGCCTAAATAACATGCCTACTAATTAATAATAATGCTACACCTTTTTCATTTTCAAAAGGTATGGTTAGAATAAGTATGGATAGTTCCAAATATATTATCACCTATGCTAAGTAGCTAAATTGCTTCAATATACCCCTCACATTCATAAATAGATGATTATTCAACAATGTTTAACCTTTCTCAAAGTAGAGGTTTCAGCATCTTTGGTTTCATTCTCTTATCTCTCTTATTCTCTATCTCTTTTTTTTCCCCACCTGTCTGTAGGCTATCAGTCTATCTTTCACCCTCTAAACTTATGACAGGTACTTAGGTAAATAAAAATATGTAATTCTATAAGTACCAATGTCACTAACGCTATCAGATACTGCTGATTTCACTGAACAAACTTCCATCTAACTGAGCTAAATGAAAGTCTTAAAAATACTGGTGCATTTGATGCATAATATTTTTGTCTAAATGGAAATAGTTTCAATTTAAATCTGCATAGTCTACAATATTAATATAGTTCAGGGGCATGAAAAAATTGTGCAGTTATGATGGGGGGAAACACTTATTGGGATTCTTAGAAAGTGTGTTACTTGAGTGCATGTTTTGTCAAGAAACTTTAGTTGATGGGAAGCTCACACAGTGTGACTGCCATTGTTTGGCAGGCTATAGCTAGTAGTCCCATACTAGCTTTTATAAATTTTAAAAAATTGCATTCATTTTTCAGGAAATAGTAGGAAAAGTTATGTGTAAGATTAAATCAAAAGACAGGACAATAAGGTATGAAGGTTTCAGCTAAGAGCCTTCTTCAGCAAACAGGACAAATGAAAATACAACAAGAAATAGAGAATAGTTAAAAACTTAAGTGATCACCATTTTTATTGCCGGAATTTGAATTTTTCAAAACCAAGATTACAAGAAGTGAAAAAACATATGTATTGTTACTGTTAGCAGGTTCAGATATCACAGGAGTGGCACCTATGGCACACATTCCCATACATAATATTTTGACTAACACATGTGAAATGTCTTACGTTTGGACTAAAACATGCTCAAGAAGCCATTTTAGGACTTTTCCCTATACACTCAAAGCCAAAAAAAATTAACCTCCCTAAAGGTACTTTTACCATCAAAGAGGGTTTCACATGTTTTAGTCAAAATGTGATATATGCAATTGTATGCTGTAGAGTCTCCTCCTGTATATAGATGAAACTGGTAGAAGATTATCAGATAGGTTCACTGAACACCTTTGTGATATTGAACTGGGTAAACTTTCCCTGGTCTCATCACATTTCACTGGGAGATAAACATAAAAGGACATTAGATTTATCCATCACAGCACTGATTTCCTGTACCAACACATCAGAGAGAGTTATAATGGAAAACAAATTAATTCAGCTTTTCGGCACAATATCACACAGCTTGAAATACAGTCCTTCATTTATCATCCATTTTTCAGCTTATCATCTAAAGCTAATCAAGTAAATAATTGTTTTTTTTAAAGAATGATGAAAATAAACAACTATAAATAATAACAATAACATGCATTGCCATTGCAGATTCAAAGTTTGCCACCATCATGTCCATATCTGCCATTAATATAGCTTTAACTTACTTTAACTTTAAGATAGTCTATAATATGCCATAAATTACCATTTTTAACAATTTTATATATTCATAGTCTTTGTAATATGATGTAAAATCTTAATCTTATCAATGCATTTGTCAACTTACAAATACTGCGCTGCACTATCTACCCTGCACTATCATCACTATACTTATACTTATACTATTTACTATATAATAATTAATAGTATAGTGATGATAGTGCGGGTAGGTACTTTTGGTAAAAAAAATTGTAAAAATAAACCAATGGGCATTCAATAGTATAACTGTAGTTTAATAAGTTGAATAGAGCTAATTTTTACAGAATTATAATTATAATATAAACATAACACCAAAATAAAATAAAATAAAATTGTTTAAAATTTAAGTACTTCATAATTTGTCCTTTTTTAACATGGACCGCATCTTCATTAAGGTACTGCTCTACCTTTTGTGTAGCGGTTAAAACATCCATTCTATGAATCAATAACCTAAAAATCTTGTTACAAACACATACAAAACCTATGCCAACACATTTACACACTTATTTGCAAAGGAGCAAAGACAAATTCATATGATCGAGTTTTTAAGTTTGATTTACTTGAACTTTGTACTGTATAGCTGAGCTTTTTAAAAATAATTCTATAAATGTTGACAAGAAACGAAATTTAAGTGAAAATCAATCATGCTGGGAAGGAACTGAGAAAGGGGGGGGGGGGGGCAAAAAGAAAAAAAAATATGGACCGAAAAAAAAAGAAAAAAAAAAAAAAAAAAATAAGTTTTGAAAAAAATAACCTTTTTAAACCCCCCCCCCCCCGGCCCTTGCATGAAAACATTAGAGTCACGTCATACCTAGAAAAAATCAAAACATACACGCAATTTTCATAACTAAACTAAGATTTTATGTTATTCTTTAACATTTTCCATAATGATAATGAATTAAGATGTAGTATAATTAGAAATCTGTGACGCGAAACACCGAAGTCATCCCCGCGCCGAATGTAAAATGGCCACAACAGTTTTTGCGTAAAAGGTGTGTGCGACTGAGGTTCACGTTACCTATAATACCTGAGGCGATTTCGACCTCAAATTAACATTTTAAAATTAATTGAATACAGATTTGTTAAAATTAGTCAATTTTAGATTTTTAAAAAAATTGTGATGTTTTGCCCCCCCCCCCCAATTACAAACAAAGTGTCAAAAATTTTCGACCCCCCCCCCTTTTTTTTTTCTTTCTGAGCGTGACGTAATTGCAAACGACCACTAAGTACACAAGATTTGTCTCAATATGAATTATGACGTCACCAATGTTCCCTCTAAATTTGACTAATCTCTGGGCGCAAATTTTAGTGTTGTGCAAACAAAACATTTTAATGATAATGGCTCATGCCCCATGACTATGAACGTTACAATATGAATCAATAACCTAAAAATCTTGTTACTCTAAGCTTTTAATACTTAAAATAATACTCAACGATTTTTAGACTCTTTTAAATACTGTGAAACTATTTTCATTTTGTGTACACTGCCATTTTTTTCTGCTGTACGCAGTGGCATAGCTAGGGTTGGTGTCACCCGGTGCGGTAAACTCATGGTGTCACACCCCACCCCCCACCCCCCCCCCAAAAAAAAAAAACAAAAAAAAAAACAAAAAAAAAAACAAAAAAAAACTTCCATAATTGATTTCTTCTTTTTAAAGTAAGTGCACAGTGTAACAATGACAAGAACAAAAACACATAAATCGAAGGTCATGCGGTCAATGTATTTAAAAACTGTAACAACGTTAAGTTATCTTTATTTTTAAATTGAATTTACTTTATTTAAAATTTTCCTTTCCTTTTCTTCAAAGCTGCAAACCTGTCAATCACTTGATCAAAATCAATATCCTTCACTTTATCACTTGCAATTGATAGCAGAGCCACATCAGAAAGCCTAGACTGTTCCATGGTGGATCATAAATATTTCTTGATAAGCCTTAGTTTTGAAAAGCTCCTCTCACTTGAAGTCACTTACATACATATCTTAAGAAAAAATTAAAGGGTTAGCGAGAGTATTCGAAGAGATTCTAGGAAATCCCATTTAGCTATGAATTTCAAAACATCAAATACTGCCCAGTCCATGACTTTGTGAAATTCAATATCCGCTGCCTTTACATGTCTTCTAAGCCTTGGTATTTCTTTTAAAAGTTCATCTTCTGATAACTCAACAGAGAAAGAAGTTAATTTTGGAACGGACACCAATAATTCTTCTTCATTTGCTGATAGACTCTTGGGTTGTACAGCACCAAACATATCTGCTACTTGAAACTTCCTTGATCGCCGATAATCTGATTTGGAGTTCAGAAAGAAAGTGACCAATACACCCCAGCATTTCCCTACTGTTTTCTTCTAACAGAAAGAGTCCAGCTTTCTGCCATTCTCTTCTGAAAGCTTAATCTTCTCTCTACAGAAATCCATATTGTTCAGATTTTAAAAGTGCCTTTTCAATAGCATGCTCCACAAAGTGACGGTGCTTCTCGTGCAGAAACAAACTTTAAGGCCTCTAGGTTTGTCACCACTTTGTCAAGAGTAAAGCCTTCAGTCTGCAGATAATGCTGTGTAAGATAAACTTCCTCAAGTAGATCAGCCCATAGGTAAAGGTAGCAGATAAACCTGAAATCACAGACATCAGGTTAAAGAACCAGTGCTGTACCTTTTGTATCCAAATTTACAAGAGGATAACACGGAGCTTGAATCACCGCCACACATTCATCAAACTCATCTTTCACTGTTTTAACAGCAGTACGATGAGCACTCCAACGCGTTGTTGACAGTCTTTTCATCGCCATTCCAGCGTGTTCAATTAGAACATTCCATGGATGAGTGGATGCAGCAAAGAACTAAAAAATTCCTTCAAGAGTAGCGACAAATGTAATACATGCATGAAGCATTTTCTGCAGATTGTTGGCTAATGAGTTAAGTGAATGGGCCAACCAAGTTAAGTGAATGGCCAACACAAGTTAAGTGAATGGCCCACAAAAGTGAAGTGAATGGGCCACACAAGTTAAGTGAATGGGCCACACAAGTTAAGTGAATGGCCCACACAAGTTAAGTGAATGACCCACACAAGTTAAGTGAATGGGCCACACAAGTTAAGTGAATGGCCCACACAAGTTAAGTGAATAGGCCACACAAGTTAAGTGAATTGCCCCCACAAGTTAAGTGAATGTTCCACACAAGTTAAGTGAATTGGCAACACAAGTAAAGTGAATTGCACACACAAAAGTTAAGTGAATGGGCCACACAAGTTAAGTGAATGGCCCACACAAGTTAAGTGAATGGGCCACACAAGTTAAGTGAATGGCCCACACAAGTGAAGTGAATGGCCCACAAGAGTTAAGGGAATGGCTTACACAAGTTAAGTGAATGGCTCACACAAGTGAAGTGAATGGGCCACACAAGTTAAGTGAATCGGCAACACAAGTTAAGTGAATGGACCACACAAGTTAAGTGAATGGGCCACACAAGTTAAGTGAATGGCCCACACAAGTGAAGTGAATAGGCCACAAAAGTTAAGTGAATGGGCCACACAAATTAAGTGAATGGGCCAAATAATTTAGGTGAATAGCCCACACAAGAAAAGTGAATTGGCAACACAAGTAAAGTGAATGTCCCACACAAGTTAAGTGAATGGGCCACACAAGTTAAGTGAATGGGCCACACAAGTTAAGTGAATGTGCCACACAAGTTAAGTGAATGGGCCACACAAGTTAAGTGAATGGGCCACACAAGTGAAGTAAATGAATACAAGTTAAGTGAATGGGCCAAAAAAGTTTGGTGTATGGCCTACACAAGTGAAGTGAATGACCCAAACAAGTTAATGGAATGACCCACACAAGTTAAGTGAATGGCCCACACAAGTGAAGTGAATAGGCCACAAAAGTTAAGTGAATGGGCCACACAAGTAAAGTGAATGGCCCACACAAGTTAAGTGAATGGGCCACACACGTTAAGTGAATGGGCCACATAAATGAATTGGCTGGGCCACACAAGTGAAGTGAATGGGCCACACAAGTTGAGTGAATGGGCCACACACGTTAAGTGAATGGCCCACACAAGTTAAGTGAATTGCCCACACAAGTTAAGTGAATGGCCCATACAAGTTAAGTGAATGGCCCACATAGGTTAAGTGAATGGGCCACACAAGTTAAGTGAATGGCCCACACAAGTGAAGTGAATGGGCCACACAAGTTAAGTGAATAGGCCACACAAGTTAAGTGAATGACCCACACAAAATAAGTGAATGGCCCACTCAAGTGAAGTGAATGGGCCACACAAGTTAAGTGAATGGGCCACACAAGTTAAGTGAATGGGCCACACAAGTTAAGTGAATGGCCCACACAAGTTAAGTGAATGGGCCACACAAGTTAAGTAAATGGGCCACACAAGTTAAGTGAATGGCCCACACAATTTAAGTGAATGACCCACACAAGTTAAGTGAATGGGCCACACAAGTTAAGTGAATGGCCCACATAAGTTAAGTGAATGGGCCACACAAGTTAGGTGTATGGCCCACACAATTGAAGTGAATGGGCCACACAAATTAAGTGAATGGGTTACACAAGTTAAGTGAATGGCCCACACAAGTTAAGTGAATGGCCCACACAAGCGAAGTGAGTGGGCCACACAAGTTAAGTGAATGGGCCACACAAGTTAAGTGAATGGCCCAGACAAGTTAAGTGAATGGGCCACACAAGTTAAGTGAATGGCCCACACAAGTAAAGTGAATGACCCACATAAGTTAAGGGAATGACCCACACAAGTTAAGTGAATGGCCCACACAAGTGAAGTGAATGGGCCACACAATTTAAGTGAATGGCCCACACAAGTTAAGTGAATGGGCCACACAAGTGTCGAGTATGAGCGTTCATTAGGAATTGTTGCGACTCAATATTATGTTCATTAGTTGTTGAACGCTTTTCCCGCGCTTGACTATTATAGTTAGTGAACGCTCTTCCCGCCATTGTATTTATGACGTATTTTTATGCTGAGTCGTGACGTATTGTCTATGCAGTGTTGTGACGTATGTTTTAGTCGTACGGCAGTCTTGAGTGGAACCTTGGAGTGATAGGATGTTTATTATATTTACTTAGATATTAAAGTGATAGTTATTATGAAAAGGAGTTGGTTTGTTAATTGATAGTGAGAATAGTACGACGCTTCAACGTATGAAAGAACTGACGAATGTAATCAATCCAAGAAGACGTGTAGGAGTTGACATCCTCCCAACTCAGTACGAACCTCGAGATAGACAGAGTCAGTACGAACCTAAAGATAGACAGAGATATGTACAACATACAGCCAGACCGAGACAGCACGACGAACCCCGAGATAGACAGAGTCAGTACAAACCTAGAGATAGACAGAGATATGTAGAACATACAGCCAGACCGAGACAGTACGAAACCCGAGATAGACAGAGACAGTACGAACCCAGATATAGTCAGAGACAATACAAACCTAATAAACTAGATGAAGAAATTAGACGTGCGAAATTAGAGGCAGAACGACGGGAAATTATTTTAAATAGACAGGCATATTATTATAGCGACAGTGACGATGACGAGAGTCAAGGGGAAGAAAT